TTCTGCTCAGACTTGGCTTTTTTTAATACTTTGATAAAATTTCTGCAACTCTTGAAGCATATACTCGCCAGGGTGATCTCCAAAAAGATCAAGAGTACCAATAAGATCCTTTAGAGTCATATCCGGCAGTTCCATGAGGAAGAACAATATCAAATTCCCCTGAAAGCGAACTCAACAGCTTTATGATAACCTCATTTCGGATTTCCCGACTTCTCGAACCCTTCAACAACTCTACCCAAGTAATTATCCATCGGTTCTTCTTCATACATCTCAAGCGCATCGAATTTCTTCTCTAACTTACTTAGCTTCGCTTCATCGTTACTTTTTTTGAGCAAATCCCAAAGATCGTGAAAGCAGAAACCGTGAGTCTTCCTGAAAGCAGAAACCGTGAGAGAAGATTGGATTATCTAGAGCATAAACTATTATTCCCTAACCCCAATACTGTAATTATTATATAGTGACATTATAAAACCGTAAGCCCTAATGGCTCGGTTTTGGTTAATATTCGTGGTTCGGTTTATCGCAATGTATATAAACCTTAATAATACGGTCAAGTATTCGGTTCAAATCCATATTTGTGTCAAATTCATATGAATAAATTGGTTGATATGTATTTCTCTAATTGGATCTATAAAACTAATAAACAGGGGAATTAAATTTGGTTCAATTTAAGTGGTTTGATCCGTACACCACACGCTAACTTCAGTTCAGCGATGGTCAGCAAGGGTTCTCGATGGTTTAGACTTTTGTGATTAGAACTAACCACACGAAGCTTCTCCTGTTTCCATTTCAATTTCTTCGAATTCCTTCGGATCTGTCACTACTGATGATTCATTCAATAATCCACCTTTCATGTCTCTCTCTCTTTCTCATTTTGGTAAAAGTTTCTCAAATTTGGTCTGTAAACATAAATTTGTTATATTTTTCTACTAGATATCCATCCTCTCCTTTTCACCATAAACAAGACTTGACAAAAGCATTGCATAGTGAATACAATATAGTTTCTGAAAACCAGATTAACCCCAAACCGTCCTAAGTTATAAACACCAGACATTATTCAAAGTGACAAGAATAATAGATACATATATAGCTAAGAGGTGAGATTACCTTACGCAGAGCCGGCTCTCTCACGTTACACATAGTTTCCCCAAGTAGTGCCCCAGTTCGATCGCGGACAATGCGTTTGCCTCCTTCCACGCTGAATGACCAGCCTCTTGATTC